AGGCCAGGCTAGCAGCCCGAGCCCCAGCAGCCATGGTTCCGGCTCCAGTACAGGCCCCAACAGCCATGGTTCCGGCTCCAGTGCCGGACCCAGCAGCCATGGTTCCGTGCTCCAGTACCATCCCACATAGCCATGGTACCGTGCTCCAGTACCACCCCACACAGCCATGGATCCGTGTTCCGGTTCCTTGCCCAGCAGCCATGATCCAGGCTTCAGCTCCGGGCCTTACAGCCATGTTTCCGGCTCCAGAACTGGATCTTACAACCGTGGTCCCTGCACCAGAGCTGGCCCATACAGCCATGGTTCCGGCCCCAGTTCCAGCCATGATTCCGGCTCAAGTACCGGGCCCAGCAGCCATGGTTCCAGCCCCAGTTCCAGCCATGGTTCCGGCTCAAGTACCGGCTCCAGCAGTCATGGTCCCGATTCCAGCACGTCGTCTCCTGCTGGCTCCCCAGCCGACGCCAGCTCCCCGAGTCTTGTCGGCGTACCGGCCGACTCCAGTACCTCGTCTCCTGTTGGCTCTCCAGCCAACACCAGCTCCCCGAGTCTTGTCGGCGTACCGGCCGACTCCAGCACCTCGTCTCCTGCTGGCTCCCCAGCCGACGCCAGCTCCCCGAGTCTTGTTGGTGTACCGGCCGACTCCAGCACCTCGTCTCCTGCTGGCTCCCCAGACGAAACCAGCTCCCCGTGTCCTGTCGGCGTACCGACCGACACAAGTTCCCTCTCAAGTCCCCTCTCAAGTTCCTACCCGAGTCCCCTCTCAAGTTCCTACCCGAGTCCCCTCTCGAGTTCCTACCCGAGTCTCCTCTCGAGTCCCCTCTCGAGTCCCCTCTCCAGTTCCCTCTCCAGTCTCCTCTCCAGTCTCCTCTCGAGTCCCCTCTCGAGTCCCCTCTCCAGTCCCTTCTCGAATCCCCTCTCTAGTCTCCTCTCCAGTTCCCTCTCCAGTTCCCTCTCAGGTCCCCTCTCAAGTCCCTTTTCGAGTCCCCTCCCTAGTCACCTCTCAAGTTCCTACCCGATTCCCATCTCGAGTCCCCTCTCCAGTCCCCTCTCGAGTTCCCTCTCCAGTCCCCTCTCGAGTTCCCTCTCCAGTTCCCTCTCGAGTTCCCTCTCGAGTTCCCTCTCGAGTTCCCTCCTTTAGTCCTTCCTCTAGTCCCTCCTCTAGTCCCTCCTTTAGTCCCCTCTCTAGTCCCTCCTTTAGTCCCCTCTCTAGTTCCCCTCGTGATTCCCCTCTCAAGTTCCCTTCTCTAGTTCCTCCTCTAGTCCCTCCTTTAGTCTCTCCTCTAGTCCCCTCTCAAGTTCCCCCTTGGTTCCCCTCTCGAGTCTCCTCTCGAGTCTCCTCTCGAGTCCCCTCTCGAGTCACGTCTCAAGTCCCTACCCAATGTCCTGGTCCGTTGGAGGTTCCGCTGGGGGTCCTGCCAATTCCATGTCCTGTCCCGTTGGAGGCCCCGTCAACTACTCCTCTGCCGGGGGTCCTACCAATCGTATGTCTGTCCCGTTGGAGGTCCCGTCGTCTACTCTCCTGCCGGGGGTCCTGCCAGCTCCTTGTCCTGTCTCGTTGGAGGTCCCGCCGACTACTCTCCTGCCGGGGGTCCTGCCAACCCTTTGTCCTGTGCCGTTGGAGGCCCCGCCGACTACTCTCCTGCCGGGGGTCCTGCCAACCCTTTGTCCTGTCCCGTTGGAGGTCCCGCCGTCTACTCTCCTGCCGGGGGTCCTGCCAACCCTTTGTCCTGTCTCGTTGGAGGTCCCGCCATCTACTCTCCTGCCGGGGGTCCTGCCAACCCTTTGTCCTGTGCCATTGGAGGCCCCGCCGACTACTCTCCTGCCGGGGGTCCTCTCAACCCCTTGTCCTGTTCCGTTGGAGGCCCCGCCATCCTCTGTCTCGCCGGGGGTCCTGCCAATCCCGTGTCCTGGTCCTCTTCCGTGGGGGATCCTGCCGAGGCCTGTCCCACCAGCTCCGGTTCCTGTCCGGCCGACACCGGGTCCTGCCCGGCCTCCGGCGCTCTCTGGTCTTCGCCCTCGAGCCCGGCCCCCTGAGAGCCGCGGTCTTCGCGCTCGATCCCGGACCTCTGTGAGCCGTGGTCTTCACCCTCGATCCCGGCCCCCTGAGAGACGCGGTCTTCGCCCTCGATCCCGGCCCTCTGTGAGCCGTGGTCTTCGCCCGCGATCCCGGCCCCCTGACTCTTCCTGCCGCTGCCCTCATCCTCGAGCCCGGCCCCCTGACTCTTCCTGCCGCTGCCTTCGCCCTCATGCTTAGACTCTGCCTTGCCCCCGGGCCGTCTGCCCGAATCCCCCTTTTTGAACTCTGCCTTGCCCCCGGGCCGTCTGCCCGAATCCCCCTTTTTGAACTCTGCCTTGCCCCCGGGCCGTCCGCCCGAGATCCCTTCCTGGTCCTCTGCTGTGCCTCTGGGCGGTCAGCTCAGTCCCGTCCTCCTGACCCCCTCCACCCACCCTGGTGGCCTAGTGATACGTCCCTCCTCCGGAACCCCTCCACCCACCCTGCTTGAGGTTTTGGACTTTTGTGTTTTTTTTTTGGGACGTCTGGGATCCGTCCCTTGAGGGGGGGGGGGGGGTACTGTCACGATCTGTCTTTGTGGTGTTTTGTCTTGTCTAGATCTGTTTTTGGTTGTCTGTCTGCGTTGTGTTTTGTCTTGTTTGGATTTGTCTGTGGTTCCCTGTCGTTAGTTTCCCTGGTGTGTCTGATTACCCGATTGTGTTCACCTGTGGCCCCTGTGTTTTCTCCTCCCTCCTCACCTGTGTCTTGTTTGTGTGATTAGTCTTGTGTGTATTTAAGTTCTGGTTTTTCTGTCTGTCTTTGTCGGTTCGTCTTTTGTTGTTGACTGTGTTCACCGGTGAGTGTTCTGTCTGTCCAAGTTCTATTTCTTATCCTTGAAATAAAGGTATAATCAGTTCAATCTGCATTTGGGTCCTGCTTCCTTCGCTCTACCGTGACAGATCTGTGATGGAGGCTGTTTTTTCTTAAAGCATATTCAAGTAACAAGCATCATTGACCTACATTTGATTGATTTAGCTGACTTATAACTTAACTTATGAGGCATTATACTTCACTTTTAGTGAGCGGCCCAGCCCTTCGTATATATTTCTGTATGTGGCCCTCAGTGAAAAAAGTTTGAACACCCCTGATCAAGAGTCACTAAGACAATTTTAATTTACATTTATTCAAATACTGACTCTGGTATTTCTGTCCGTCTGTCTGTCTGTCTGTCTAAAGTGTTAAGGAATTTTCTTAAAACATAGCGGAAGAAGAAGCATGAGCTAAGGAATAATAAAAACATTTTTAAAGTCAGAAAAATAACTCAAAAAGCTGCATAACATTTGAGTTAAGATGTGAGAGAGTGACACCATTTGACTCGTACCAGAGCTGACGTAGATATCTCAAATCTATGGCAAAATAACAACAAATGTCTCATGTAATCATAAGTCTTTAGGTACATTAGATACTATTTTGTAATGTTTCTGTCACTACCTATCATCATTGGTTTAGGGATAGTCATCCATACTGAAGGGTATGAGGGACAACATGTGGATTATCTACAGCAGGGGTCGGCAACCTTTTTGTGCCATTGAAAAAAAAAATCTGAGTAGTGTGCTGGCGTTCGTGACAGATGGACAGATCGCCACTGGGTTTTCAACTAAAGACACAGTCACGCAGAAACTGCGGTATGTACAGCTCCTTATGGATACTGCAATGTGTGAAGTGCGCTGCACCCCTGGTCGTTTCACCATGGAGGGAAGCAGCAGAAAGTCGACTGGAGTTAAAGAGAGCGGGGCCTAGAAGTTATCCTTCTGCGCTGCGTTGCGTGCACGGCTTCCTTCTGCAGGGGGAGACGCGCTCTGCCGGCGGTCTCATTCAGGATCCGAAAATACAATTGAAATATTTTGCACACTTATTCCTAGTGTGCCAGGGGTTACGGTCCAGCGTGCCAATGGTGGCACGCGTACCGGGGTTGCCGACCCCTGATCTGCAGTAACTAAGACATTTTGTCGAGTTACAACTTCCCAACAAGATAGATGAGCCTTTGTGGAGCATCTCCGTGAAGCTGACTTAGAAACAGAGAGGAGGTGTGAAGTGTGAAACTTCTTCTTCCCACGTCGCAGCAATTATACAGTTTAGCCTCTTTGTCAGTAATGGCCATTTGAGATAGTGCTGGATGCAAAGTATGAGGGAGAGAGAAGCAACACATGGACAACTAGAACACAGAAGGCTTTGGCAGCCATACACTCCTGCAGGGAATGATAGGCTACTATAAAAAATACACAAGCCTACTACTGTACGCTCATTAAATGCCCACAGCTTGTTCTAGTAGAGTGGCTTCTCTAGTAGCCAAACATATCCCGAAGATTAAACCTAAATCATTCACAACTTGATGAGGGAATGAGCTCTACTTTGTCTTGGTTCATCTGCTCAGTCTCTACACAATCCATCATGCGATGCGTGAATATCAACATATTCTGCCAACAATTGGTCAGAGGAGATAGGCACGTGCAATATCATTCTACCAATTACAGAAGAGGTAAAGTGCTTTGTGTAATATGCCGTGAATACCGTGCCAGGTCCCCAATTACATTTAGAAATGTGTCCCGCTCGGAGATGAGCGTTGAATAATGAAAGCAGCCTCCATTCACCCACATATCAGACTCAAGGGAAGAATAAGGTCATTATAAACCACAGTAATTATCAAATGTGTGCTTCATGGGCTCAGAGTCAAAATTAATATTCCAAAATATCTCTGCTGTATAAATTGTTTCTTATATGAATAGCTGTTGGTTTTCTTTGTTTTAGGCATTTAGGAAACCAACAGCACTTTCTTTCTCCACCAAGTGCCAAAATAAAGTGCAGAATATCTATTTGAGGGATTTAAGAGTGAGCATGCACTTGTCTATTGGGAGGGCAGATATACAAAATGCATAGACAGACAAAGCAGGCGACCGACACAGGCAGTGCAGACCACATTGAAAGTGTAAAAACATGGGATAGTCACCAGAGATTTACTAAAAAAATATGTTCAATTTCCTGTAGGATCTCAAGCTCTCTAAAGACGTTTCGGACCTCATCTCTCTCCACGCACTGCTGTTTGTTCATGTACTTCATGGCGTACATCTTCTCCGTGTCCCTCTTTTGCACAATGCATACCTGCAGAAAAAAGGAGAAAAACAGGTATAAGTAAAAAAAAACGGAATCAGAAATCCTTTATTCGTCCAGCAGCGGGGAAATGTACAGTGTGACAGCAAAGGTGGCATAGCAGGTAGAGAAAAGGCATGCAATAATAATGACCAAGCTAACTTATTAAATATAGAGAAGAAAAGCACATTATAGTAGAATAAAAATAAAGGATAATGGATAAAAAATAAGTAGCAGCTATTTAAAGAATGACATAAGTAACATATTAAGGTGTTGAGGCATTAGAACAATTTATAAAACTGTTTGGACATTATAAACATTTTAGTTTTTTTCATATAGCAAGTAATTATTGCACATTACAATTGCAAAAGAAAGTGTCTGTATTATGTATGATTATTTGTGTATTGCAGAATTATATTGGCATGGAAAGTGAATAACTGGTAATGTGTCGAAAACAAGTTTCAGCTCCACAAATGAGACCACACTGCCATGAGAATGAAAAGTATTTAAAAATAACACAGCATCTTCTAGCTGTTGATTAAAGCCAGTGTTGATAGATGCCCTATACCTGTGAATGAAATGCTGACACGACACTCTGCGCACCTCTAACTCACTTCTCAATCACAGAACTTTGTGGCACAAACCGCTTCCAAACAAAACCTCATTATTTACCGCTTGTGTTTTTTGTCAGTAAGTGGCCACGAAAAGGTCAGGAGCAGGACGGGACTCCAGAGAGGTCAGAGTCATTACAGTAACATTACCGTGGCAACCAAAGTTATTAAGTGGATCATCTGTCTGCCGCAGATCCTGACTAATGGACAAATAAGGTCCAGCCTGTTCTCTTGTCTTACCTTAAGACAAGATAATGAATCAATGCATAAGGATGAAATGGAAAAGAACAGGTTTGCATTCCGAGAGAACTCTTATGCCAAATGTACATAGACACAAATATTGATGCACCAGCCAGGATTGTTCTATGGTCAGTATGGAAAGTAGGAATTAATTCAGCAACTGTCATATCTTATTGCAAGTGTGCATTGTACTTAAATGGACTTGGATACATCTGAATCTATGTTTTAATGCAGGGGTGGGGAACCTCCGGCCTCCGGGCCGAGACCATTTGGTACGGCCCTCGTGGTAATTTATAAACACACGCAAAAAATCAAAAAATGAATCTAGACCGCAAAAAGAATTAGAGAAAAATAAGAGAATAAAGTAAACAGGTATAACATACTATATGACAGTAAAAGTTGTTATTAATAAACAAGAATACAGTTTGAAAGGGGAGTGATTTGTAAAATAACCATAAAGAAAAAGAAAATCTGTTTACAGTTCTGTTTCATATGGGTGTTGAGAGATGTATCCATAGATCTCCTCATGTTGCTCTCAAAGTGCACCAGATTGATGCTTTCAACTTCAATATTTAAAAAAAAATCTTCCGGGGGAGCATAGGGGACCCCCCTAGAGGAGGTTAGGTCCCCCCCCCCACTTAAATCATGTCCACATGGATAGGATACTAAATAAATTTGCACACATCTTGTGTCCATATCTTTCTGTGTTGGTGGTCATGCCACAACCGTGCACGTGCATGCATACGTGAGTCATGGTGAGATATCTGGACTAAGAGGTTGCTTTTTCTTTGCACTGCATGAAAGAAAGGCCAAATGAATGGGCTGTGATTTTAGTATTTTTAAGCAGAGTTCAATCATTTGTACAACCCTCAGAGGATGTTGAAAAAATGTAAATGGCCCTTGAGAGGAAAAAGGTTCCCCACCCCTGCTTTAATGTATCTTTACAGCAGTCTCCAAAGAGAAGTAAGATCTCATTTGCATGACTGTTGAGCAGGGAAACCATCAACGCTCCACACTGTCAGTAAAACGCCTAAGTGGGCCAGAGGGAGAACACATTTACAGTAGCTTCAAATAAAAATGACAATACAAAATGTTGTTTGTATTACTGTGAGTTGCACAGTGTTGAATATAAAGATGTCTGCCTCCAATAAAATGGATGCTAGTCTATGAGTACATGCACGGTATTTTATGCGGTGATAGGGTAGAAAGAAAATAGTTCTAATATCAAACTGCTCACAACAAGTTGTATGGATTGTCATCAGTAAATGGCTCATTATTTCTGGAAAGAAACATTGCTGTTAACTGATAACATGTCATAAAGAACCCTTGTTTCCAAAACTGGGGAAAGGGATTAAGAGAAAAACTCTTGTCTAGATTCATGCAGATTTGACAACAGTGAGTGTCATGACAAAGATCTGACTATGAAAGCATGCCCGTGGCAGAGTGCAGCAGCAAACATCATTACTTACTTGTAAACACAGTTTAAATATGCAAGCCTTGGTTAAACGCTCCGGGAGGGGGTCAGTATTTAATCTGATACCCAGCACCTGCATGTAAAAGCACTCTGATTTGATTTCTCCCACTAACCTGCTTCTTATATGCGAGTAAACAAAGGCTAGGTTCGCACTGCAAGCCTCAGTGTGCCATTTGTATTCTCCTCAGATGGATTAATCAGTGGGGCTGTTGCATTATTTTTTAAATGGCCAGATTAGGGCCACTTTTCTCTGAAGTGTGAACAAAGCCATAGTAAAACCCTCACTGAAGACAGGAAGTTCAAATCAATATTGACTATCAAAGCCCTTCAGGAAACAGTAAGCAGCTGTTTTGGCCCTAAAAGGTTTCCCCCTGTGTCCTGTGTTTAGCACTTGACCATTCTCTGAAGATAAAAGCTAAACACCCCCCTGATATTATTTGTATAGACAGAAGGCAGGGTTGAGTTGTCAAAGCCCAGGTCTGGTCATTACAGTGTGCGTCAGACAGATGGCTGTTTAACACTCTGGCCCAATGCACTGCAGAAACACCACCTCAGCTCCTCATTCTCTCATGTGTTTGGTATATAAAGGTCTCCTATCATGCTATTTTTAGGCATATATTATGGGTCTCAGATTTATACAAATACATAAAAAACATGTCTATGACGTGTTTTGCTCAAAATACCAAACAGATCATGCATTTTAGACATCCCTCATACCCCTCTATTTCAGCCCTGTTAGAGAAGTGCTGATTCTGGGTCCTTAGCTTTAAAAATGTTTTTTAAAAATGTTACCCAGATACAGCTAAATGATTAAACGCCATGTCATGTTAAAAACCACATTAAGGAATATTTCTGAAACAGTATGGAGCTCAAATGCTTTTTCTCTTGCGGGTTTACCACAAGGTCAGTGAGTACCTTTTTATATTCCGCTTGTTTACACATACTCTCTCCAGTACAGGTTAGCTCTGAGTGTTAGCGATGCTTGCTAATGTAAAAAAGACCATATTACATCCAAAACACGTCGCGCATTGTTTCTGATAGCGACGTTTCTGATAGGGCCGTGGGTATAAAGCCAGCCCACATTTCCGATATTACGTCATATCGGACGCAAATCTGGATCAGCTCTGTTGTAGCCCCGTTTTTAGAGATTTGGGTACGGAGGAAAAGAGAGAGGGTTGTATTGTCTGACACTTTGTGAGTCTCCTTACACACCGGGGACACATAGTTATGTATAAAAAATATCGAAAAGTGCATTTTGCATAATAGGAGACCTTTAAGCAAATGAATTGCCGACTGGGAAAAATAATCTGCCTTCCCTTAATGCAGATGGATATTTATGCAGCTGTTTATATGCATCGTTTAACATTTTTGTCTTGAGTTATTTTGAATTTGTCTGCTATATTCAAATGACCTCTGCATTAGGAATATATATAATATAATAAAGATGAATGAAATCTAAAAACACTTTGTTAACACAGATTTCCCTTTAAGCTGGTGGGTTTTATTCACTTGATTGAATGGGGAATAAGACGATTTTAAGACTGAACACCAAAGTAAATGAGGTGTTAAAATGAACATTTTCCATGTAGTGAAAGGGACAATCTATGACGATGTAAAAAAGCACAAGCACACGACTTGAAACGAGTGCCAGGTCTGACTCTATGAAGGTAGATATGCTGCAAAATGTGAGAGCGTGTAAAACCTGATGTGAGCACTTGCAGAAAAAAAATCTGAGTTTGTGTGCATACATTTACACTTGTATAAAATATCCACGTAACTATGAACCAAATGTACACTTGTATAAAATATCCACGTAACTGTGAACCAAATTTGAAGTCACAGAAGAAAAAGAAAAGTTTTGTAGCTTGTAGAAAAAAATTAACTTAGTGATGAAATGTTCACTTGCAGAAAAATACATATTTTTTAAATATATTTTCCATTACAACTGCAACTTGGTTATTACAACCTCTCAAATCAGTCATTACAACTTGACGAATCTGCTCTGTGGCAGTATAAATCGACTAATCTGCGGTCTTGACTTTTGCTACACTTCTTGCGATAAATGTGTCGCAAAAGTAATTTTCACCTGTAGATGTGGGGGGAGGGAGGGGGGTTGGAGCGAAGGGGCGGAGCTATCAGAAGGACGAGGCTCGGGTGACTGGAGACTGCGGGGCTGTGTCCACACCATTAACCATTAACCATTAACGGTTCGTGTCGCTACCAGTCCGCTGACATGGCGCATCAATCAACGGTAAGTTTTGCCCAGTATTACTTTGAATATTATTATTAAATCCGCTTTGAAGACCACCGTTTTATATCGTGCAGTTTAGCGGCAAAATAACGTCAGTCCGCCAGCTAACGCTAGCTTTGTTGAGTTTATGCTAGCTAAACAAGTAGGCTAGTGGTTGTAGTCTACAGCAGTAAATAATATATTATAGCCTACTGCTTTGGCACTAACGGTTGATAACCGTTTATGAAAATAAAACCAATTGAACTGTACTGAAATAATGACAAGTTTTATAATTGTCTTGGGCCCCTGCTGTGTTTTTAAAGCCTTTGGAAATTATCCATACTATTTTCTATTTAGCTAACGTCGAAGTAGTGTATGTGAAATCAGCCTCACAATAAGATGTGTGTGTATTACAATTATGAATGTCATATTTCAAGATGATTACTTAGATATTACA